AGAGAGAGAGAGAGACAGAGAGAGAGAGAGAGAGATCAATAACACTGATAGACTCCTTTTCTGTAACCAGTGAAGGTTTGAAGAGTGGATGAGCATCAGAGCCTTTATCCTCCAGTTAGATGCTCTGTCCACAGACACTAACGTGCACTCTGTCCAGAGAGACTAACGTGCACTCTGTCCAGAGAGACTAACGTGCACTCTGTCCAGAGAGACTAACGTGCACTCTGTCCAGAGAGACTAACGTGCACTCTGTCCAGAGAGACTAACGTGCACTCTGTCCAGAGAGACTAACGTGCACTCTGTCCAGAGACACTAACGTGCACTCAGACTAGTGTTGCACGGTGTACCGATACTTGAAAGGTACCGCGATACCCTGTCGTTAAAAACGTTACGATTCCTCCGTTTCATTAGTGTCGGTACTTTAAGAATGACGGGGAAAAGTACTCCGGGGAGAAAGCGCTGTTTTAATAAGAGCCGTGTGTGTTCAGCGCTCTGCTTCCACTCCCTGCAGCCGTGCCTGCAGCCCCTCCCCTCTCAAGCACGCTCTAAGTACCTCCCCTCTCTCGTGCACGCGCTAGCTGCCAGAGCATGTGAGAAAACGAGAAGCTGCAAGTGGGAGTGCAACTGCCGCTGCGCCTCGTCTTGTTGACAAGAAAGACGCCAGAAGCGAAATGTGGAAGTATTGTAGCTATATCTCTGACAGTGAGGGCAAGCCTACGGACACCACAAGGCCTGTCTGTAAGACATGTTTTAGATCCCTGCAAACCAAGGGAGCCAACACATCAAACTTGGCTAAGCACCTCGCCGACCGGCATCCAGAGCTGTGTAAAGACAGACAGGTTAGCGAATGTGATAGATAACATAATAATGAGCTCTATGAGCCCTTCCAATCCGGCTTCAGACAGCAACACAGCATTGAGACTGCCCTCATCAAGATCACCAACGATTTCCTCACTGCTGCTGACTCTGGCCGCCTCAGCATCCTCATCCTCCTGGACCTCTCTGCAGCGTTTGACACCATCTCTCACAACATCCTCCTCACCCGCCTCTCAGACCTCCTAGGTGTCACTGGCACAGCGCTGTCCTGGTTCACATTCTACCTCCATAACAGGAAACAGTTTGTCTCCATCAGTGGCTCAAACTCACCCCCGGCCCCAGTCCACCACGGTGTACCCCAGGGCTCTGTGCTTGGCCCCCTCCTGTTCACCATTTACATGCTCCCCCTCGGCCAGATCATCCGACATCATGGGCTCAATTTCCACTGTTACGCTGATGATACCCAACTGTATCTCAGCACCACTCCATCCTCCCAGCTCCCCCCTCAGTCCCTCATCAACTGCCTGCATGACATCAAAACATGGATGTCTTCCAACTATCTCAAACTAAACAGCAATAAAACAGAGCTCATGGTTGTGGCACCCAAGGCCCTGCTCCAGAAGGTTGGTGACTTCATCCTCGAGGTCGACGGCTGCTCCATCTCCCCATCTCCTGAAGCCCGCAACCTGGGTGTCATCCTTGACTCCACCCTTTCCTTCCATTCCCACGTCAAATCTGTGACCAAATCGGCCTTTTTCCACCTGAGGAACATTGCCAGACTCCGACCATCACTCTCGGAGTCGGTTGCCGAAACCCTAATACATGCATTTGTCACCACCCGCTTGGACTACTGCAATGGTGTCCTGTTCGGGGTTCCCAAAAAAACCCTGGACAGGCTCCAGTATGTCCAAAACTGTGCTGCTAGGGTACTCACACACACAAAGCCGTGGCAGCACATCACTCCCACCCTCATCCACCTACACTGGTTGCCGGTCAAGTCCCGTATATCTTACAAAGTACTCCTCCTCACCTACAAGTCCCTCCATGCCCTTGCCCCCCAGTACCTATCGGACATCCTTCACCCACATGCCCCACCCCGGAACCTGCGGTCCTCAGACTCTGGCCTGCTCACCACCCCCCGCACCAAACTGCGAACCTTCAGGGACAGAGCCTACAGTGTGGCAGCCCCCACCCTCTGGAACGCTCTCCCTGCGGAGATTCGCAACATCCCCACACTCGACGCCTTCAAAAGGGCCCTCAAGTCCCATCTGTTTGCCAAGGCTTTCGGCCCCTAATCGATCTGTTGTTTTGTCTGTCTGACTTTTGTTTTGTTATGTTTGTTTTTGCCCTATTACTGTACAGCGACCTTGGGTCCCTCGAAAGGCGCTATATAAATGCAAGCTATTATTATTATAATTACATCATGCTCGAGCCCATGCCCTCAAATCTAAGTCAAACAAGTCTCATTTATTTTGTGACAAACGAACGTTTTCGTAGTTTGACGAGGCAATTAATGGCAATGATAACTGTCTAATATGGCTATCTGTTTAGCTAACTTACCAATGTGGCTAACATCTGCAATGTACATTTAGTCAGTACAGTAATATAAATAATTATTATTACATGTTAATAAAATATAAAGTTAACTATCAACGAAATCACATAAACTCAAGTATAAAGAAGAGACCATGTTGGAAGAAAACACTTAACAGATAAACTACAATTTTATTGATCATGAAAATAATAAAAGAAAAGTATCGAAAAAAAATCGGAATCGCAATTCTTGACTTGGTATCGGTATCGAAACCAAAATGTTGGTATCGTGACAACACTAACTCAGACCCCAGCAACCACTCAGCGACATGATCAGAGGAACCGCAGGGTTCTGCTGTGGTAACAGGTCAGAGGAACCTCAGGGTTCTGCTGTGGTAACGGGTCAGAGGAACCTCAGGGTTCTGCTGTGGTAACAGGTCAGAGGAACCTCAGGGTTCTGCTGTGGTAACAGGTCAGAGGAACCTCAGGGTTCTGCTGTGGTAACAGATAAGAAGAACCTCAGGGTTCTGCTGTGGTAACAGATCAGAGGAACCTCAGGGTTCTGCTGTGGTAGAAGATCAGAGGAACCGCAGGGTTCTGCTGTGGTAACAGGTCAGAGGATCAGAGGAACCTCAGGGTTCTGCTGTGGTAACAGGTCAGAGGAACCTCAGGGTTCTGCTGTGGTAACAGATCAGAGGAACCTCAGGGTTCTGCTGTGATAACAGATCAGAGGAACCTCAGGGTTCTGCTGTGGTAACAGGTCAGAGGATCAGAGGAACCTCAGGGTTCTGCTGTGGTAACAGATCAGAGGATCAGAGGAACCTCAGGGTTCTGCTGTGGTAACAGGTCAGAGGAACATCAGGGTTCTGCTGTGGTAACAGATCAGAGGAACCTCAGGGTTCTGCTGTGGTAACAGGTCAGAGGAACCTCAGGGTTCTGCTGTGGTAACAGATCAGAGGAACCTCAGGGTTCTGCTGTGGTAACAGGTCAGAGGATCAGAGGAACCTCAGGGTTCTGCTGTGGTAACAGATCAGAGGATCAGAGGAACCTCAGGGTTCTGCTGTAGTAACAGGTCAGAGGAACATCAGGGTTCTGCTGCGGTAACAGATCAGAGGAACCTCAGGGTTCTGCTGTGGTAACAGATCAGAGGAACCTCAGGGTTCTGCTGTGGTAACAGGTCAGAGGATCAGAGGAACCTCAGGGTTCTGCTGTGGTAACAGATCAGAGGAACCTCAGGGTTCTGCTGTGGTAACAGATCAGAGGAACCTCAGGGTTCTGCTGTGGTAACAGGTCAGAGGATCAGAGGGACCTCAGGGTTCTGCTGTGGTAACAGATCAGAGGATCAGAGGAACCTCAGGGTTCTGCTGTGGTAACAGGTCAGAGGAACATCAGGGTTCTGCTGTGGTAACAGGTCAGAGGAACCTCAGGGTTCTGCTGTGGTAACAGATCAGAGGAACCTCAGGGTTCTGCTGTGGTTACAGGTCAGAGGATCAGAGGAACCTCAGGGTTCTGCTGTGGTAACAGATCAGAGGATCAGAGGAACCTCAGGGTTCTGCTGTGGTAACAGGTCAGAGGAACCTCAGGGTTCTGCTGTGGTAACAGGTCAGAGGATCAGAGGAACCTCAGGGTTCTGCTGTGGTAACAGGTCAGAGGATCAGAGGAACCTCAGGGTTCTGCTGTGGTAACAGATCAGAGGATCAGAGGAACCTCAGGGTTCTGCTGTGGTAACAGATCAGAGGATCAGAGGAACCTCAGGGTTCTGCTGTGGTAACAGGTCAGAGGATCAGAGGAACCTCAGGGTTCTGCTGTGGTAACAGGTCAGAGGATCAGAGGAACCTCAGGGTTCTGCTGTGGTAACAGGTCAGAGGATCAGAGGAACCTCAGGGTACTGCTGTGGTAACAGATCAGAGGATCAGAGGAAATTCAGGGTTCTGCTGTGGTAACCGATCAGAGGAACCTCAGGGTTCTGTCAGGTGTAACTAAGGTTCCTCACCCAGAGAAACTCCGTCGGGGAACTCGTCCTTCAGGCCGTAGATTTCTCCGAAGGCCCGCAGGAACTCCAGAACCAGCAGAGCGTCTCCGAACAGACCGGCTGGCAGACGGGTTCTCACCGGAACCGGGAGGGGGAGATCCTGCAGAACACAGAGGTAGAACCGTGATTAATGTGTGGGTTCCGTGTATAAATCAGAACCATCTATAATCACAGTTTACAGGTTCTCCTCTGGACCTGATGGTTCTAATGCGCAACAAACATTCACCAGAACCATCACCGCTTTACACTGAAATCATTAAAGTTCTAAATATGATAACAGTTCCTGTCGCTCCAAATGTTCCGTTTAAAACTCTGTTTATCGATTACAGTTTTCAACATCGTTTTATCGCCAAGCCCTCGTTCAATATTAACTTTATTAGTACAGAGCAGACAGACATAAACACACATCATGAACTTAAATATTAAACAAGATAACCATCTGGACTGAGGTCTCCGTGGTGCGTTCACTGACCTTCAGGTCCTCACACTCCATGTCCTCTCTGGGTTTGCTCCACAGCTTCAGACGCTCTGCATACTTCTTCTTCTCCTCTTTCAGCTTCTCTCTCTCCTGTCAGAGCATCAGAGTGACATCAGAGTGATATTAGAGTGATGTCAGAGTGACGTCAGAGTGACATCAGAGTGATATTAGAGTGATGTCAGAGTGACATCAGAGTGACGTCAGAGTGACATCAGAGTGATATTAGAGTGATGTCAGAGTGATGTCAGAGTGATGTCAGAGTGATGTCAGAGTGATATAAGAGTGATATCACTCTGACATCAGAGTGACATTAGAGTGATATCACTCTAATGTCACTCTGACGTCAGAGTGATATTAGAGTGATATCAGAGTGATGTCAGAGTGATATCACTCTGACATCACTCTGACATCACTCTGATATCACTCTGATATCACTCTGATATCACTCTGACGTCAGAGTGATATCACTCTGATATCACTCTGACATCAGAGTGATATCAGAGATACAGCACGAGATGATAGATCCCCGTTATAAGCAGTATAATAGATAGTTATGATATAAAGACGTACCCGGTCCTTCTCCAGCTTCCTCTGCTCCTTCTCCTCCCTCCTCTTCACTTTCTCCTCCTCAAACCTCCTCCTCTGCTCCTCCTTCATCCTCTCTTTATCCTCCCTCTCTCTCCTCTTGGCCTCCTGCAGTCTGTTTCTGTCCTGAGCGGCAGACGCCATCTCCTCCCTGTGATGCAGCAGCTGCAGCTTCTCCTTCAGCAGCGCAGAGCCCGTCTGTAAACACATTCAACTTAGATTAATACAACATGTAATACTCATTACACTGCAGCTTGTCCTTCAGCCTGAAAACACATCATTATCATCTCAAATCAAACAGGTGATTCCTGTAGATTCATACAGGTTCATATTATTGATCTATCAGAGTGTGACCTGTGATCTATCACAGTGTGACCTGTGCAGGTGATCTATCAGAGTGTGACCTGTGCAGGTGATCTATCAGAGTGTGATGTTACCTGTGCAGGTGAGCTCCGTGCAGCTTTAGGGCTGAAGGGGAACATGGGGGGGTCGTCAGGGAAGAACTGAGAGAAACTCTGTTCAGCGAGCCGGTACTTCAGCACTGAGGAGGGCTAGAGAGGAAGCATCAACACACAGGAAGTCATCATCAACACACAGGAAGTCATCATCAACACACAGGAAGTCAGCAGGTTGGTTGGTTGTTGTGTAGCCGTGTGTGTGTGTGTGTGTGTGTGTGTGTGTGTGTGTGTGTGTGTGTGTGTGTGTGTGTGTGTGTCTCACCTTGAGTGCGATGGTGCCGTTGTTTGGCTCACAGTGTTGTTTAAACAGCAGCTTCAGCTTCTCTTTGGACACACTGCTCTTCCTGCGACTGAACACACACACACACACACACACACACCGTTACGATCTTAATGTTTTGGGTACCGTTAGCATGTGTTAGCGTTACTGAACAGCTGTGCGGCTCCTCACCTGATCTGATTGGCTTTCACAGTGAAGGACTGGCTGTGTTGGTCCTCCAGCATCCTCACCATGTACTTAAACACTGACGGGTTCAGAGGCTTCTTCTTGCTACACACACACACACACACACACACACACACACACACACACACACACACACACACACACACACACACACACACACACACACACACACACACACACACATCTCCTCGTATCAAATGTTCATTATTCCTTTAAAATAAATAATCTATATTTTTTTTCCTACAAGTTCCTACAAAAATATTCTGAATAAAAAAAAAAAAAAGCAAGATATTTTTTCTGTAATATTTTGACTTTTCAATCTTTCTGTACACCTGTCTATCTTTGACCCCTGACCCTACTGACCCTCTGACCCCTGACCCCACTGACCCGTTGCTCTTGGGACTCTGGAAGGCGCTGCTCTCCTCGTCGCTGTCGCTGATCACGATGGAGTCGCCGCCGCCGGCTGCTTTAGCGTGACCATTAGCGCTCGAGTGAGGAGAGCTAACCTGCAGCACCTCACACACATGTCTGACACACACACACACACACACACACACACATTCATAAAGAGTCATTAGAAGTTGCAGCACACTCGTAGACACTGACAGTATTGTTACGATAGGATAGACAATAGGATAATCCTTTACTGATCAGATGAAGTCTGAGATGCTCCTTGCATCCCAGCAGCTCCATGTGTAACATCACAGCAGCTCCATGTGTAACATCCCAGCAGCTCCGTGTGTAACATCACAGCAGCTCCATGTGTAACATCCCAGCAGCTCCGTGTGTAACATCACAGCAGCTCCATGTGTAACATCCCAGCAGCTCCGTGTGTAACATCACAGCAGCTCCATGTGTAACATCACAGCAGCTCCATGTGTAACATCCCAGCAGCTCCATGAGTAACATCAACTGACCAACATCAAGACTCATGAGAAACAACAACATGTAACATCACAGCAGGATCAGTGAGAGCTGCTCAAAGAGCCTTCAGCGTGATCTGATCTGTAGCTCTGTGTTCACTGAGAGGGCTGGAGCACAGAGGATGCTTCAGGCTGACTGGAGCACAGAGGATGCTTCAGGCTGACTGGAGCACAGAGGATGCTTCAGGCAGACTAGAGCACAGAGGATGCTTCAGGGTGACTGGAGCACAGAGGATGCTTCAGGCTGACTGGAGCACAGAGGATGCTTCAGGCAGACTAGAGCACAGAGGATGCTTCAGGGTGACTGGAGCACAGAGGATGCTTCAGGGTGACTGGAGCACAGAGGATGCTTCAGGCAGACTAGAGCACAGAGGATGCTTCAGGGTGACTGGAGCACAGAGGATGCTTCAGGCTGACTGGAGCACAGAGGATGCTTCAGGCTGACTGGAGCACAGAGGATGCTTCAGGCAGACTGGAGCACAGAGGATGCTTCAGGCAGACTAGAGCACAGAGGATGCTTCAGGGTGACTGGAGCACAGAGGATGCTTCAGGCTGACCTTAGTGGTCTTCATCAGATGGTAGCAGTTCAGATTCTCTGTCAGAGCATGCTTTGGGTCCAGAGGATGCTGCTGGAGCCTCTCAGGTTATTATGGGATGTGAGTCAGGAAGTCTCTGACGGGGTGACCAACTGTCTTTGAGCAGATTTATAACAGGTGGAGCCGTTTAGATTTGAAAGCTGTTGACCAACACTTGTACCAGGTAGTGCCGTGTTAGTCATCATTTTAACAGATGATAGGGTATACCTGGTCTCCCCGGGGAAGTCATTTGGGATTCATTTTATTTCAGTGTATTACTTTTCGTCTTGTGCTTTTAACTTTGTCCGCAACATGCGAGCCGACCGCACCAACTCTACTCACTATGTTTTATGATATATGTTGCATTGTGGGAGGAGCTCAGGTCAGAAGACTTTCATTCTACCCTGCAGCTGCTGAGCATATGAGGATAACACCTTTGACATTTTAATATTTCTGTATCTACCTGGTCCCGTTGCGCACCGTGACGTCCAGCGTCTCCCCGGGGAAGTAGCGGTCCTTCACGAAGGAGTGCACGTCCTCACAGAGCTCACTCAGCCTGGCGCGATGACTCAGAGCCGCCAGGTGCAGCAGAGGAACCAGGAGCACCTGAGAGAAGCTCTGCAGAGACAGCCTGGCTCTACGCTCACTCTCCAGAGCCTCCAGGTAGGTGAGGCTGGAGCGCCCCGTCAGAGAGCAGCTCCACACCAGAGAGTTACACAGGATGGTGCGCTCAAAGAAATCACTGAGGAGAGAGAGTGAGAGGAGTGAGAAGAGTGAGACATACAGGAGAGAGGAGTGAGACATGAGGAGTGAGACACTGAGGAGAGAGCAGCTCCACACCAGAGAGTTACACAGGATGGTGCGCTCAAAGAAATCACTGAGGAGAGAGTGAGAGGAGTGAGACATACAGGAGAGAGGAGTGAGACATGAGGAGTGAGACACTGAGGAGAGAGCAGCTCCACACCAGAGAGTTACACAGGATGGTGCGCTCAAAGAAATCACTGAGGAGAGAGAGTGAGAGGAGTGAGAAGAGTGAGACATACAGGAGAGAGGAGTGAGACATGAGGAGTGAGACACTGAGGAGAGAGCAGCTCCACACCAGAGAGTTACACAGGAAGGTGCGCTCAAAGAAATCACTACAGAGAGTGAGACATACAGGAGAGAGGAGTGAGAGGAGAGAGTGAGATATCTGTTTAACATCACTGAGGAGTGAGAGGAGTGAGACACTGTTTATAATCACCAAGGAGTGAGACATCATTTAACCCATTGTAGGTGATAGGCTAAGGGGCGGGACATCTCTAAGCTGTTGACCAATCACAACAGAGCCAGCTAACCAATCAGAGCAGACATTTTGTTATATTTGATATATAAATACTTTTGTCCTTCAGGTTTATAAATAAATACGAGTGTATTTCAGCTCAAAGAGGGTTTCATATATTTAAGGGTTGAAGTGTGTTCAAACCTGCTGACCTCTGACCTCACCTGCTGACCCTGAGCAGGTGAGGTCAACTTTATTGACATCAGTGTCAGTAGGCCTGAGCTAACATGCTAACGTTAGCCAACACAGCTAGCAGCTTGAGCTCACTGAGCTAGGCTAACTTCAGGCTAACACTACACCTGTCCACTTTTCACCTGTTCAGCACCCGAGGACACAACGTGTACCTGTCAGTCTGAAAGAAGACGTTACTGCAAGCTTAACAGAGCTGTTTAAAAGGGACAGGTGAGAGGGGAGGACAGGTGAGAGGGGGACAGGTGAGAGAGGAGGACAGGTGAGAGAGGAGGACAGGTGAGAGAGGAGGACAGGTGAGAGGGGAGGACAGGTGAGGGGGGGACAGGTGAGAGGGGGACAGGTGAGAGAGGAGGACAGGTGAGAGGGGGACAGGTGAGAGAGGAGGACAGGTGAGAGAGGAGGACAGGTGAGAGGGGGACAGGTGAGACAGACCGGTGAGAGGGTGAGAGAGGAGGACAGGTGAGACAGACAGGTGAGAGAGGAGGACAGGTGAGACGGGGACAGGTGAAAGGGGGACAGGTGAGAGGAGGACAGGTGAGAGGGGAGGACAGGTGAGACAGACAGGTGAGACAGACAGGTGAGAGGGGGATAGGTGAGAGGGGGACAGGTGAGAGGGGGACAGGTGAGAGGAGGACAGGTGAGAGGAGGACAGGTGAGACATACAGGTGAGACATACAGGTGAGGGGACTCAGGTACTCACTCGTATCCCCTGAAGATCTCGTGAGTGATCTTGCAGAGGAACACCTCCTCCTCGGGCTTCAGGTCCTCGGGAGGTTTCTGTCTGATGAAAGCTTTCCTGTGGAGCAGCGGCATCTCTGTGGAGAAGAGAGGGAACCGGGTCAGAGAGGCCGAACCGGGACACAAAGTGCGGATAAACAACCCTAAAGTCCAGAACCGGGTCAACCGGGTCAGAACCGGGTCTCTGGACCGAGAGACCGGAGAAACACGGAGAGAAGCGGCGGGAGAAGAGAGCCTTCTGGCGGGTCTTTTGTTAGTGATAATCTGCACATGGAGCCCAGAGAGGCAGCACTTTGACCGGCTTCCCTCGACCACTTTCAGCCTCTCTACCGCCGCTGGCTCTCGGTACTCCTCCGGGGAATCTGGGCCTGGAGGACTTTACCGAGTTGTGAGGCTGTGGACGGAAGATCCGCGGAACAGATCGATAGAAACCGGAGGAAAGTCCCGGTGGATCTGCGCTGAGCCGGAGCTGCTCTGTTGACTAACTTTCAGATGCTTCAGGGACCCTGCCGAAGCTGGGAAACTGCAGTGTTCCACTCTACCGACTGTTATACACACATCAATGAAGAACAACGGGTGTTACTTTGTGTATTATATTAAACATTTGTATGTGGGTAAATCGTTTTTAATAAAATACTTTTACATTCGGCAAATCACTAACTAATTTTGTATTCTACTTTACATTTGTATATTCATTTATTTATGTTGTACTTATTGAACCGTAGAAGTTCAGTTGTCGTAGCAACACAAACACATAAATGAGTACAAACGATATAAAGTATAAATAGACCTTACATTACATTAGGCCGGCGCTTTCATCTAAAGCAACTCACAATAAGTAAGATATTAATACTTATAAAGGTCATAGTTTAACTTGTGATTGACAGAAAAAAAGTTACTGTGTTTGTTCCGGATCTGGGCCGTGTCCCTGAACGCACCGCGCGGAGTGAGTGGGTGGGCGGGGCTTCGCTGTTCCTCCTCAGCGCCGGTTGGTCCGCCGTCCCGCCGCTCCTTCACCGGCAGCCAATGGTTGCCCTGGAAACTGTGAGGAGGCCCGCGGTGAGTGACGAAACGGAGCGGTGACGTAAGAGGAGTAACGGCAGGAAGCGGGAACGTGATGACGCAGAGTGACAGCACGAGGCCATGCGTCATCACGTTATTTCACTTCACGAGGAAACGGCCTGTAACTCACCATGTAAACACTACACTCACTGCTGTAGTGTTTTAATTATCCAGAATATTGTATATTGTTTATATTTGATTTTTTATTTAATTTTTAATTGTTAATTCTCTTTTCCACTTTTTAAAGTATTTTAAGTATTGTATTAGAAAGTCTGAACACACTTCTTCTGTGACGAAAGAATTTCCCAAATCAGGATCAATAAAGTATCTATCAATCTATCCCAGGGCCCGGACCAATGTGCTGTAATAATATTAGATAAAACCAATCAAAACAGGATTTAGACAGATATTTCGACCTTCTGAAAAGTTTGTTCATTTATGTACTCAATACTTGCTCGGGGCTCCTTTTGCACAGATACATGCTATAGATATATAGATATATGATACTGTGAGCTGCACCTGTAATCTGACTTCTATAATATGACTTGGGTCTAGATAACACACACACATTTAACAAGCAGCACACACACCAGGATAAATCACCATAACTGCTGGGATTGAACCCACAACCTTCGGACTCAAAGACAACAGCATCCTCTCAGACACAGACTATTATGGGCTGGATGAGGAAGACAAACCTGAAGTAACAGGAGAACTCTGCAGTTAGTCAAATAAACTGGAAGATGTTTGATCTGTTAATACAGAATATATACTGATATTAATATATATATACATCTACATCTACAGAGAGAAGCACAGGTTGGTTTTTATCAGTTTTTATTTCAGACCCAGCATTTTATCATACTCACAGATTAGCTGTATCTATTTTTATAGTTTAACAAAATAAATGAAAAATACACTTCAAGTATTAACTGTAAACAACCAGTTCATCGGAGAGAGCTGAGCTTTATAACAACTCTGGGTCACATGACCCGGTCCAGGTCACATGATCCGGTACAGGTCAGGTGAGAGAACCCAGTACAAGTGTTCTGGTCTGGTCACAGGACCCAGTACAGGTCAGGTGTTCTGGTTCTGGTCCAGGTTCAGAGGACCCGGTACAGGTGTTCTGGTTCTGGTCAGGTGTTCTGGTTCTGGTCAGGTGTTCTGTTTCTGGTCCAGGTTCAGAGGACCCGGTACAGGTGTTCTGGTTCTGGTCAGGTGTTCAGGTCAGGTGTTCTGGCTCTGGTTCTGGTCCAGGTTCAGAGGACCCGGTACAGGTGAATCTGTCTGAGGGCGTCGGGGTCCGTGTCCTTGCCGAGGTAAACATCGTAATCCAGAGGAAGTTCCTCCACCCAGCAGGGGGGCAGAAGCATCTGCACACAGGGTTAGAGAGAGGGTGTGTGTGTGAGAGGGTGTGTGTGTGAGAGAGTGAGTGAGTGAGTGAGTGAGTGAGTGAGTGAGTGAGTGAGTGAGTGTGTGAGTGAGTGAGTGTGTGTGAGAGAGAGTGAGTGTGTGTGAGAGAGAGGAGTGTTGTGGTGAGTGTGTGGTTGTGTGAGTTGAGGGATTCTGGTGAGTGAGTGAGTGAGTGAGTGAGTGAGTGAGTCGTGTAGAGAGATGAGTGAGTGTGTGGGTGAGTGAGTGTGTGTGTGTGAGAGAGAGTGAGTGTGTGAGTGAGTGAGTGTGAGTGAGTGAGTGAGTGAGTGAGTGAGTGAGTGAGTGAGTGAGTGAGTGTGTGTGAGTGAGTGAGTGAGTGAGTGTGTGAGTGAGTGAGTGAGTGTGTGTGAGAGAGAGTGTGAGTGTGTGAGTGAGTGTGTGAGTGAGTGAGTGAGTGAGTGAGTGAGTGTGTGTGAGAGAGAGTGAGTGTGTGAGTGAGTGAGAGTGAGTGTGTGTGTGAGTGAGTGAGTGAGTGAGTGAGTGAGTGAGTGAGTGAGTGAGTGTGTGTGAGTGAGTGAGTGAGTGAGTGTGTGAGTGAGTGAGTGAGTGTGTGTGAGAGAGAGTGAGTGTGTGAGTGAGTGTGTGAGTGAGTGAGTGAGTGAGTGAGTGAGTGTGTGTGAGAGAGAGTGAGTGTGTGAGTGAGTGAGTGAGTGAGTGTGTGTGTGTGAGTGAGTGAGTGTGTGAGTGAGTGAGTGTGTGTGTGTGTGAGTGAGTGAGTGAGTGTGTGAGTGAGTGAGTGTGTGAGTGAGTGTGAGTGAGTGAGTGAGTGTGTGTGAGAGAGAGTGAGTGTGTGAGTGAGTGAGTGTGTGAGTGAGTGAGTGTGTGAGTGAGTGTGTGAGTGAGTGTGTGAGTGAGTGAGTGTGAGTGAGTGAGTGTGAGAGAGAGTGAGTGTGTGTGTGAGTGAGTGTGTGAGTGAGTGAGTGAGAGTGAGTGAGTGTGTGTGTGTGAGTGAGTGAGAGTGAGTGTGTGAGTGAGTGAGTGAGTGAGTGTGTGTGTGTGAGTGAGTGTGTGTGAGAGAGAGTGAGTGTGAGTGTGAGTGTGAGTGTGAGTGTGAGTGTGAGTGAGTGAGTGAGTGAGTGAGTGTGTGTGAGTGAGTGAGTGAGTGAGTGAGTGAGTGAGTGAGTGAGTGAGTGAGTGAGTGAGTGAGTGAGTGAGTGTGTGAGTGAGTGTTAGAGTTACCTGCAGTGTGTCGAGGCTCTCCTGCAGACAGGGCACAGTGACCAGCAGAGAGCCTTTCTTCCTGAAGTTCTCCATGATAAAGCTCCACGCTCTGAACACACACACACACGCACACACACACACACACCACACACACACTTTAACTGAATTGGAAGCGTGTTACATTATTTGTTACAACCATAAAGTAATCTGAGTACTCTAACACACTAGCCCAGGTTAATAATAAAGAATATATTTGTGTACAGTTTTGTAGTATATGTGTGTATTTAATATGTGTGTGTGTGTGTGTGTGTGTGTGTGTACCCGACTTGCTCCTCTGGAGGCAGGAAGTACTCGAACACGTTGTTGAGGACGAGGACGTCGGCGTTCTGCAGGAGAACGTTCTGCAGACGCACATCAGAGTGGAGAACCTGCAGGAGAACACACACCGTCACCGAGTGTGTGTGTGTGTGTGTGTTGTATGTGTGTGTGTGTGAGAGTGTGTGTGTACCTGTATCCGGTCTGTCATTGTGTATTTCTGCACGATGTTCTCCTGCAGTTTGACAAACTCCTCACTGATCTCCAGACCAACGAGTCGAGAGGCCGAGCTGAACACGTAGCCCTGAACACACACACACACACACACACACACACACACACACACACACACACACACACACACACACACACACACACACACACACACACACACACACACACACACACACACACACACACACACACACACACACACACACACACACACACACACACACACACACACACACCTTATTATACCGTATCATACTTTATCGTACAGTATACAGTACTTTACTGTATCGTATCATACATTATGATATAATAAAAAGTTCTGGTCCCACTGACCCCTACAGTACTGACCCCTGTCACTACTTGATCTGCATCTCTACCCAATCCGCATTGCGCATGTGCGAGATGCACAACTCCATACGGCAACCCAAATAGGACACTTGACACAGTGGCGTTTGGCAAAGCAGAAAAAGAAAACTCAAAAAACCGAGAGAGATGAGTTATTGTGATTACAACGTGACTTCACTATTATTCAACAACTCCTTTTAGTGGGTCCTTTTAGTGGGTCCTTTTAGTGGGTCCTTTTAGTGGGTCCTTTTAGTGGGTCCTTTCAGTTAGACAGCTATCATACTGAAGAAATATTTACTGTGAACGAATGCAAAAATGTATGGCATTAATCATTTATATCTAATTACATTAACTGTGAATATCTTTCATTTTATTACAAATTGAATACAATTACATAAAAGATTTTCCATAAAAAAGTTGATTCAAGAACAAATCTCTGTTATTAGATCAGTACTTTACTTATATGACTATTATTGCTACATTTGAAAGGTCTTTACCAGCTTTGGATTTATATATATATTTATATAACATTTATAAATACATATATATATATATATATATATATATATATATAGCACCTTCTGCCATCCCATCTCTACTGACAGTCATTAACACTTACATTTTATATTTATATTCACTGTTTAAAACTTGCGCATGCGCAATGCATATTGGGCAGCCGTCTAGACGTCAAGTGTCCTATTTGGGTTGCCGTATGGAGTTGTCCAATATGGCGGACCATCTCGCACATGCGCAATGCGGATTGGGTAGGGATGCGGATCGGGTAGTGACAACCCCTACAGTACTGACCCCTACAGTACTGACCCCTGACCTCTACAGTACTGACCCCTACAGTACTGACCCCTGACCTCTGACCCCTACAGTACTGACCCCATACAGCACAGCTCCCAGTCTGGAGCCCACGTCCACCAGGACACGCCCACTGAGGTCAGGAAGCGCGCTCTCAAACAGGAAGTGGAGCTCTGGGATGGAGAAGGAGTGAGACAGGAAGTCTGTGGGAGGAGAGGAAGAGGAGGAGGAGGAGGTGAGAACATGTGTTGGATGAAGAGGATGAAGATGATGAAGATGATGAAGAGGGCGTTCTGACCCAGAGGGGCGGTTCTGGTGGATCCACAGGAGAGACAGTACGAGCGGCTCAGAGAGCCTTCATCACACAGAGAGTCCACCTCCTCTTCATCATACAGGAAGCTGTCCACATGCACCGTGGGCTTAGAGCTCTGCTGCATCTGAAACACATGAAGAAGAACATCTTCATCATCATCATCATCATCACTGCTGCATCTGAAACACATGAAGAAGAACATTATCATCATCATCACTGCTGCATCTGAAACACATGAAGAAGAACATCATCATCTTCATCATCATCACTGCTGCATCTGAAACACATGAAGAAGAACATCATCATCTTCAGAGACAGTTCCATCCATCTTCTCCTCTGCTCCGTGGTCGGGTCGCGGAGGTATCAGTTCCAGCAGAGAGCCCCAAACGTTCCTCTCCCATCAACCAGCTCTGACTGGGGGTCCCAAGGCGCTCCCAGGCCAGCGGAGAGATATAATCCCTCCACCTGGTCCATGAATTAATGCTTTGACAAGTCTGCAGACAGACGGCAGGCGAAAAACCTTTTAAAATGCGTGTTTTCTAAATGGAGATCGGCTAAGCTAACGCAATATATGCTCCGACCGTCCACACTCACAACAACGGCCTATACAGACATAAATAAAGCAGCGACTGTATTCACCATGACACAGGCAGTCTGTGGTTTGTACTTGTTTAACTTTTGTCTAGTTTCTGAACAGATATGAGGAGCTGTGAGCTCTGAGTGCTAACAGCTAACGGCTGTGTTGTTTTTCTGGGGTTCTCATTGAAGATGACGTCACGGCTCCGCCTACACTGCGTTACTATAGATACTACCCCAGTTCCTAAACTGTAATGGAAATGCGCCATAAAGTGAGCCAGTCCTAACGAGGCCTAGCCATACCGAGCGAGGCCGAGTGAGGCTGTGTAGTGGAAATGCGCCATTACTGCCGAGGACCCGGACACAGCTCTCGCTTTGGGAGTACAGAGATTGGATGGCCCTGAGTAGAGACCCCCTCACCCCATACTCCTGCAGCACCTCCCACAGTAACTCCCTGGGAACTCGGTCATACGCCTTCTCCAAGTCTACAAAACACATGTAGACCGGATCAGAGTACTCCCAGGCCCCCTCCAGGATCCTTGCGAGAGTAAAAAGCTGATCCGTCGTTCCACGACCAGGACGGAATCCGCATTGTTCCTCAATCTGAGGTTCCACTATCGGCCGGACCCTCCTTTCCAGTTCCTTAGAGTAAACTTTCCCGGGGAGGCTGAGTAGTGTGATGCCTCTGTGATTGGCACACACCCTCTGATCCCCCCTTTTGAAAAGGGGAACCACAACCCCGGTCTGCCACTCCTTCGGCACTGTTAAACCCCTGAACTCTGTAAAGAACATCCAGAAACATTCATCTGTTGCATTTTGAAAATTATTTCTCTATATTTCAGATTCCATTTACTTGTATATAGACTCTTCTTGCACTATTTCTATTCTATTTGTATTTTCTTGCACATCTCAAAACATCCTCTTGCACTATTTGATCTGTTTCATTAGTTCTATGTCCTATATATATTCATGTTGCTCTGCTGGAGGAGGACTCAGTTTGTCATTGACACATCTACACTGAAGCTGCTGAGCTCATGATGAGAGAGACTTGGATCGAATTTAATAGTACTCCAGGTGTACTCCAGGTGTACTCCAGGTGTACTCCAGGTGTACTACCTTGCTGAGGGCAGTGCTCTCAGAGGGCAGCATGGCGCTCTGAGGCAGAGACCCTCTCAGATCCTCAGAGATGCTCTGCAGGATCTTCCTCCTGTTGTCCGACAGGAGCTCATCCAGATCATCTGCAGGAGGAACACAAACAATAACAACTGTTTATTTTAATAAAGTGTTTATGTGGCTGAAACTGGTGAGGAATACATCAATGGAAATATTCTATAATAACCAAGTACATCACACAGTCTGTACACACACAGTCCGTACACACACAGTCCGTACACACACAGTCCGTACACACACAGTCCGTACACACACACAGTCCGTACACACACACAGTCCGTACACACACAGTCCGTACACACACAGTCCGTACACACACAGTCTGTACACACACAGTCCGTACACACACAGTCCGTACACACACAGTCCGTACACACACACAGTCCGTACACACACAGTCCGTACACACAGTCCGTACACACACAATCCGTACACACACAGTCCGTACACACACAATCCGTACACACACAGTCCGTACACACACAGTCCGTACACACACAATCCGTACACACACAGTCCGTACACACACAGTCCGTACATCACACAGTCCGTACACACACAGTCCGTACACACACAGTCTGTACACACACAGTCTGTACACACACAGTCCGTACACACACAGTCTGTACACACACAGTCCGTACACACACAGTCCGTACACACACAGTCTGTACACACACAGTCTGTACACACACAGTTAAAATCTGACATCTCCATAATAAACTGCTTTCAGAGAATCAGCTGCAAGTGTGCATAGAGTGTGTGTGTGTGTGTGTGTGTGTGTGTGTGTGTGTGTGTGTGTGTGTGTGTGTGTGTGTGTGTGTGTGTGTATGTGTGTGTGTCTGTGTGTGTGTGTGTGTGTGTGTGTGTGTGTGTGTGTGTGTGTGTGTGTGTGTGTGTGTGTGTCTAAGTGAGTGAGTGAGTGAGTGAGTGAGTGAGTGAGTGTGTGGGTGTGTGTGTGTGTGTGTCTGTGTGTGTGTGTGTTTACCTGACTCTCTGACCCACTGCAGCAGTCTGCTCAGATCTCTGTTCTTCACTCTGCTCAGAAGCTGCTTCACCTCCAGCTTCGCCTCACACAGATCCATCAGCAACTCTTTCTGTGTTTTTCAGTCTCTCTGAGTTTCTGAGTTTCAGAGTTTCAGTGTTTCTGCTCATGGTGAAGCAACGTGTCTGCGTGTTAAGGTGGAACCTGAGCATTCACGTTTATCACCTCTCATTATAACTCATCATTATTAATCTACACAACTATAAATATTAAACTTTACTTCATGTGTTCATTTGAGGGCAGCGGTTACATACCTGGGTGAAGGTAACTTACAGTTCATTTAAATGAAAGATACCACGTTACTCCACACTAATGGTTCAGTCCACCTTAAGAAATAAGACCGACCTCGGAAGCAGTTGTGTTTTAAAAAAAACTTTATTGACATAAGTACAGTTCACACTTCAAAATCAAAACAAAGATCAGACATAACTAGAGAATGCAATTCCTGAAGAAATTGCTAGTGGGAATGCTTTATGCTGAACAGCTGACGCTGAATTGCTATGCTGAAATGTAATGTGTAAGAAGAAAGTGAAGAATTTAGATTGAAATGATACATGAACACTGGGGGCTTGAATGTTTGATGAGAGAAGAAAAAGGCTTGGAAAAGCAGCAGAATATTTGAACTGCAAACTTTTGAACTAACTTGATGGCGAATGATCTGTCGCCATGCCAACGGCATTTGATAACATCCCTTAATACGCTTAGATGCGTTGATGGCTGCATCGTTACCAAACCTGTGAAGTTTTGGGCTGTTTGGAGTATTTTCACTGAAGTTATGAGAAAACCGTGTTTCAAGGCGAGCATTGTGTTGCCATGGCAACGGCATTTGAAGAAATCTCAAAACTGTCCGGTAGATGTCTTCACGGCTGGACTGTTGGCACACATGTGAAGTTTTAGCACTTTTTAACAATTTTCATAGGAGTCATAGCAATATCGTGTTTTATTGCAAGGGATGCGTTGCCATGGCAACAGCTTTTGAGGAAAACTCACTAATGGCACATAGACATGTTCAGGACTGGACCATTAACTGTCATCTGAAGTCTGGTGTTGTTTGGACCATTTGCATAGGTATCATGACAACATTGTGTTTTATTTCCACTATTTCAAGCATACTACGTCATCGAGTGCCGCCGAAGTACTGTTCCAATCTCCAGCATACTTGGAAATCTACCGAGCCCGGCGTACTCCGTTTGGAGAAATATCGAGGCTGCACATGTGTAGACTCCGCGGTCTTAAAATCCCCACAATGCTTTGCGCACGGACCAATTTCCCCAAATCTGTGGCGGAAGATGTAAGGCGGGGCCTCTCATATGACGCACACCTGCACACTTGCTAGCGTGTTCCACTCTTCGTTTTCCGAATGCCAGGAAGTATTCTTGACTCGCTTCTGAAGCAAGATGCTCGGCAGACATGTGCTATCAAGCAAGCGTACTCGCGATTGAGAAACACCCAGAGAGTGTGTGTGTGTGTGTGTGTGTGTGTGTGTGTGTGTGTGTGTGTGTGTGTGTGTGTGTGTGTGTGTGTGTGTGTGTGTGAGTATGAAATGAACAGTTAGAACTGACTGCTGTCAGTTGGAGTGATGACATCATCGTGTTCCATTACACAGGTGTTTATAGTTGAGCTAACGAGTTATGTAGAGATCAAAGGTTTGCATTGTTCTGAATGAGAGATGAACCTCTTGCATGTGAACGTTTTGTCACATGCACAGATATCTGTGAAATTTCAAAATGTGAAGCATGTCAAGGAAGTTGAGTATCTGAAGTGTAATTTTTGTGTACTTTCGGGTTAATAATGTGGCCTTTTTGGCAGTTTAACGAAAGGTGTGCGGCTGCTGCTGTGAGGAAATATCAGCCTGAAATTACAATGGGTTTTAATGGAGACATGTTGAAAGTTTTTGTCACTTCATGCCCTCAAGAGGCATTTTGTTTAATTATTTTTGCTTAATTATTTGTCATTTTTCAAGCTACGAGATGTTTTCCTACGTTTGTCATGAAAGATTATGTCTCAGGAATGTAAGGTTTGGGAATTATGGCAGTTTTAAAAAGAAATATGAAGGCAAATTTCAAGATTTCCTACCCTCTAGCTGTGACATCACGCACTCTAGTTAATGTTAAAATCTGAAGAAAGCCTCTGTACCAAGGTCTGAACAATGTTTAATATCTCTAAAAGTAAGAATCAGATTTAAAAGTTGTGTTACACGAATAATGTCAGAGAGATGTGTACCATTTTAAAGTTGGAATGAGGTTTCTGAGTGAAAGTATGAATGAACAGTTAGCAGTTGAAGTCGCATGAAGATTTGTTGAAGTCTGAAGAGTTCTCCATTGACTTCCATGTTAAAAATGTGATGAATTATGGGATGTATCTCTGGAATTATGAAAGTTATGAATGATAAAAGTAATAGCAGTCGATTCCCAACCGAGCTGAACGTTTTGATGTTTGAACGGAGTTTCTGCGATGTTCAATGCAGGAGGAGAAGAGGTGCAAAATTCCCACTAAATGAATGTTTGGCAGTAATTCAGGATAAAACATTAAAAATATCTCTGCATCTTATATATATATATATATAAGGTATAAGATGTTTGTCAGTCATTAGTTTATGTGTGCATTTGAATGAATGGCCAGTTTAAAATATAAAAAAATAGTTGTAATGTTTCTGTGAATTTTGACTTTCTCAGAAATTAGAAAATACATTTGAGGAAACATTTTGAATCCTGAAAAATAATCACTATTGGAAACAAAGTAAAAATAAACACTTTTTGACTTATTTTCTCAGAATCTTTTGTATTTTGACTTTTTTTCCAGAATTTTGACTTTTTCTAATGTTTTTGTTATCTTGTGACTTTTTCTTGAGTTTTGACTTTCTCAGAATTTTGACTTTTTCTCAGAATTTTGACTTTTTCTTGAGTTTTTAGGTTTTTTAAAAACTTTTTCTCAGATCTTTTTATTTTTCTCAGAGTTTAGAAAACACACCTTTTAACGTGTTTTAGTCTCCGATCCTCTGTCCTCAGAATTCTGATCTGAAATGATCATTTCAAATATATATCTTTTAGAGTTCAGATTTGCAGTCACAGTGCAATGTAAACCGGTTTCCTCTCATTAGTAATGAGTCGTTCCCCTCCGGGACGGCAGAGGGCGCTTTGTTGAAAAGCAGCTCTGCTCTCCGCCAGCAGCAGCAGAAGAAGAAGAAGAAGTGTTTCCGGGTCAGTTCTGATTAGATGACGTTCCTCTGAGTTTCTGCTTCAGTTTCATCATCAAACTCTCAAACAGCCGGTAAGTCTCCTCCGTGTCTGCTCCAATGAGCTCTGTGTCTGCTCCTCTGTCTCTACAGGGCTCGATGGGGGCTCCGAGAGAAGCTAACTGAGCTAACTCACCGCTAACACTGAGCTAATGCTAATCTGCTGTTTACACCGACGGGGAAGCTAATGCTAAGCTAACGTTATAAACAGCTGTAAACGTTACAAACAGCCTGATTATAAACTAATATATCGATCAGAGTGATTATAGATAAGAGGATAGAGGATTACTAAGTGTTGTCATGTCGTGTTTCTGGGCTCAAACTCTTCCATATGTCGACTGTACATAGTGATCATTCTGCTCAGAGATCATCCGCTAAAGTGAGAGGAGTGGGTTAATGTGGATCTTTATCCTGAAACTAGGAAAACTAAGAGATTTAGTTAAAAACATATCAGTGTTTTTACAGCAGAGATGAAGCTGAATTCACTGAACGCGTTTATTATTGATTCTGTGTTCAGGGTTTAGGGGAAATATAAGACTTGCATTAAAAGTGAATAAATAGTTTGTGATGACTTGCTGTTGAAATACTACCTGTTTCACTGGCGATAACAAACTGATGACATGTGACGAGTTTCTATTGGCCACTCATCATCACATGAGAGCTGTTCATCACAACACCTTCCTTACTGTAGCGCACTCACACACAGACACACTCACAGACACACTCTCACTCACTCACACACACTCTCACTCACTCACACACACACACACACACACACACACACACACACACACACTCGCACACACACACTCGCACACATACACACTCACACAGACACACTCACACAGACACACTCACAGACACACTCACAGACACACTCACACAGACACACTCACAGACTCACACACACACTCACAGACACACACACTCACAGACACTCACACAGTCACAGACACACACACTCACAGACTCACACACACTCACAGACACAGACACTCACACACAGCTGGGGTTGTAATCAGACAGTTACCTGTACTTCAGGTGTAAGGCGTCCCTTGAGGACAGATCCTTTTAATGTTCAGAAAGCTCTCTGTATTCTTCTCACCTGACTCTCAGAGGAACATCAGGACTCAGGTGTGTCACCATCAGTCCTGTTGCTATGGTTACCTGCAATGTTCTGATTGATCGTCATGTCTCTAAACGCATCACCGTGTTGCGTTCAAAGACCTCCCTAAAACCTCCCTTCTTCTTCTCTCCTCTGAAACAGGAAGTGTGTGTCGAGCTGCGTCTTCACCTGTCAGCTGACCTGCTGACTCACTGAGCCAATCAGAAGGGGGCTCCCCTCCACACACACATCTGTTTTAACACACACACGGTGAGTGAGCAACACACACACATCTCTAATTTAACACACACATGGTGAGTGAGACACACACACATCTCTGTTCTAACACACACACGGTGAGTGAGCAACACACACACATCTCTGTTCTAACACACACACGGTGAGTGAGCAACACACACACATCTCTGTTCTAACACACACACGGTGAGTGAGCAACACACACACATCTCTGTTCTAACACACACACGGTGAGTGAGCAACACACACACATCTCTGTTCTAACACACACACGGTGAGTGAGACACACACACACATCTCTGTTCTAACACACACACGGTGAGTGAGCAACACACACATCTCTGTTCTAACACACACACGGTGAGTGAGCAACACACACACATCTCTGTTCTAACACACACACGGTGAGTGAGACACACACACATCTCTAATTTAACACACACGGTGAGTGAGCAACACACACACACATCTCACACGGTGAGGGCTAACGACTTCTATACTTCCACTAATTTCTGATACTTGAGGTTATATTGTGTGTTTCCTGTGACCTCATCCTGACGTGTGTTTCCTGTGACCTCATCCTGACGTGTGTTTCCTGTGACCTCATCCTGACGTGTGTGTGTGTGTGTTTCCTGTGACCTCATCCTGACGTGTGTTTCCTGTGACCTCATCCTGACGTGTGTTTCCTGTGACCTCATCCTGACGTGTGTTTCCTGTGACCTCATCCTGACGTGTGTTTCCTGTGACCTTCAGGGTTAGCTCCAGCCGCCACCATGGTGTTAGCCGACCTGGGGAGGAAGATCACGTCGGCGCTGAGGTCGCTCAGCAACGCCACCATCATCAATGAGGAGGTACATCGAATCATATATTTATATACTCAGAGGGGGGGGGGTGCACCTTTGTTTAAAGACTATAAACACGGCTCCCTACAGCTTCATTAGAGTAAGGGGGAACCATGGCAGTTAATTAATGTGCATGTTCATGGAATAGAGGAAACGCTGCATATTTGAAATATCAAACAATTTGGAAGCACTGAATACTTAAAGGAGTTTGTGGCGTGTGGCGCAGTGGATAGAGCGTTGGTGTTCGGATCAAGGGAGCACAGGTTCAAACCCCACTGCAGTCAGCATGTCGTTGTGTCCCTGAGACACTTCACCCCAAAGTGCTCCTGTGGGGATTGCCCACAGTATTGAGTATGTAAGTCGCTTTGGATAAATGCGTCTAACAAGTAACATGTCATGTAATGTCTGTGTGTGTGTCGGTGTGTGTGTCTCTGTCTCTGTCTGTGTGTGTGTGTGTGTGTGTTTCAGGTGCTGAACGCCATGCTGAAGGAGGTGTGTGCTGCTCTGCTGGAGGCCGACGTCAACATCAGGCTGGTCAAACAGCTCCGAGAGAACGTCAAGTCAGTATTCAATATAAACCTGAGACTAAACCTGGTCCACAGACTAAACCTGAGACTAAACCTGGTCCACAGACTAAACCTGAGACTAAACCTGGTACATTGACTAAACCTGAGACTAAACCTGGTCCAGAGACTAGACCTGGTCCACAGACTAAACCTGAGACTAAACGTGGTCTAGAGACTAAACGTGGTCTAGAGACTAAACCTGGTCCACAGACTAAACCTGAGACTAAACGTGGTCTAGAGACTAAACCTGGTCCACAGACTAAAACTCTGTGTTTTGTCCCTGCAGGGCTGCCATAGATCTGGAGGAGATGGCCTCCGGTCTGAACAAGAGGAGGATGATCCAGCACTCTGTCTTCAAGGAGCTCGTCAAGGTCAGAGGAGACGGATCAACACCTGAAGAGTCAGATATAAAGAACACATGGATCAGACTCACATGTGTGATGTGTGTGTGATGTGATGTGTGTTTAATGTGTGTGTGATGTGTGTTTAATGTGTGTGTGCAGCTGGTGGACCCCGGCGTGAAGGCCTGGACTCCGACCAAAGGAAAGAACAACGTCATCATGTTTGTGGGTCTGCAGGGCAGCGGGAAGACCACTACCTGCTCCAAGGTGAGCCCCTCACCTGTACACACACCTCACCTGTACACACACCTCACCTGTACACACACCTCACCTGTACACACACCTCACCTGTACACACACCTCACCTGTACACACACACCTCTGTACACACACCTCACCTGTACACACACCTCACCTGTACACACACACCTCTGTACACACACCTCACCTGTACACACACCTCACCTGTACACACCTCACCGTACACACACCTCACCTGTACACACACCTCACCTGTACACACACACACCTCTGTACACACACACACCTCTGTACACACACACACCTCTGTACACACACCTCACCTGTACACACACACCTCTGTACACACACACACCTGTACACACACACACCTGTACACACACACACACCTCTGTACACACACCTCACCTGTACACACACACCTCTGTACACACACACACACACCTCTGTACACACACCTCACCTGTACACACACCTCACCTGTACACACACCTCACCTGTACACACACCTCACCTGTACACACACACACCTCTGTACACACACCTCACCTGTACACACACCTCACCTGTACACACACACCTCACCTGTACGTACACACACCTCACCTGTACACACACACACCTCACCTGTACACACACACCTCACCTGTACACACACACCTCTGTACACACACCTCTGTACACACACCTCACCTGTACACACACCTCACCTGTACACACACACACCTCTGTAGTACCTGTTGTATCTGCTGTGTTTCTCACTGTGTGTGTCTGCAGCTGGCCTATTACTACCAGAGGAAAGGCTGGAAGACCTGTTTGATCTGTGCTGACACCTTCAGAGCAGGTACACACACACACACACACACTCAGTTAGACTCACACACTCGGACTCACACACTCAGTTAGACTCACACACACACTCACTATCTCCGACACACACACTGACGCACACTCAGTCACTCGCATACACTCACCTTCACACACAAACTGACCTACCCACACACACACACACACACACACACACACACACACACATTGACTCACTCACACACACGCACACACACACACACACACATTGACTCACTCACACACACGCACTCGTTAACGTTTCCTCTGCTCTCAGGCGCCTTCGATCAGCTGAAGCAGAATGCCACTAAAGCCAGAATCCCCTTCTACGGCAGGTGAGGTTTACAGGAAGTGATGTCATAATGAGAACACCTTGACATCAGAACAGGAAGTGAGTGTTGTGTACTTCCTGTGTTCAGCTACACGGAGATGGACCCGGTTGTCATCGCTGCTGAAGGCGTGGAGAAGTTCAAAGGAGAGAACTTTGAGATCATCATCGTGGACACGAGCGGGCGTCACAAGCAGGAGGACTCTCTGTTCGAGGAGATGCTGCAGGTGTCCAACGCTGTGGTGAGTCCCTGAACGCACCACCAGTAACACATCACCAGTAACACACTGCTGGTACCTGAACACATCACCAGTACCTGAACACATCACCAGTACCTGAACACAGTACCTGAACACAGTACCTGAACACATCACCAGTACCTGAACACATCACCAGTACCTGAACACATCACCAGTAACACATCACCACTAACACACTGCTGGTACCTGAACGCATCACCAGTACCTCAACACATCACCAGTACCTCAACACATCACCAGTAACACACTGCTGGTACCTGAACACATCACCAGTACCTGAACACATCACCAGTACCTGAACACATCACCAGTACCTGAACACATCACCAGTACCTGAACACATCACCAGTAACACATCACCAGTAACACACTGCTGGTACCTGAACACATCACCAGTACCTCAACACATCACCAGTATCTCAACACATCACCAGTAACACACTGCTGGTACCTGAACACATCACCAGTACCTGAACACATCACCAGTAACACACTACTGGTCCCTGAACACATCACCAGTAACACACTGCTGGTACCTGAATGCACCACCAGTACCTGAACACATCACCAGTAACACACTGCTGGTACCTGAACACATCTCCAAAAAACATAAAACATCACCAATACCCTGAACACACCGTTCTTGAATAACACACCAGTACCTGAATGCAAAGCCATTTCCTTTAAATACCAGTACCCTGAATGCACCACCAGTACCTTCACCAGTACCCTGAATGCACCACCAGTACCCTGAATGCACCACCAGTACCCTGAATGCATCACCTGAATGCACCACCAGTACCCTGAATGCACCACCAGTACCTGAATGCACCACCAGTACCTGAATGCACCACCAGTACCCTGAATGCACCACCAGTACCCTGAATGCACCACCAGTACCCTGAATGCACCACCAGTACCCTGAATGCACCACCAGTACCCTGAATGCACCACCAGTACCCTGAATGCACCACCAGTACCTGAATGCATCACCTGAATGCACCACCAGTACCCTGAATGCACCACCAGTACCTGAATGCACCACCAGTACCCTGAATGCACCACCAGTACCCTGAATGCACCACCAGTACCTGAATGCACCACCAGTACCCTGAATGCACCGCACCAGAAAACAACGTCATATGTATTTGAATAGTTTTTATTTATTTTTACTTTATAACTTTCCTCTAATCCATGTTTGTGTCTTGATATTTGTTGCTTCTCGATTCTGTTTAATTGTTTTAATCACATTGACAGTGAGCAGAGAGTCTTGTGTCTCAGGTGTGTGTCTACCTGTGTTTCCATAGCAACCGGACAACATAGTGTACGTGATGGACGCGTCCATCGGTCAGGCCTGTGAGTCCCAAGCGAAGGCCTTCAAAGAGAAAGTGGACATTGCGTCCGTCATCGTGACCAAGCTGGATGGACACGCTAAAGGGGGCGGAGCTCTGAGCGCGTGAGTGATGTCACAGCCAGCCGGCCAATCACTGAGGCTGCTTGTGACTTACTTTAACATTCATGTAGTCCTAAATAATTCAGTGATATTTCGAAATACTGGTCATGCTTTATGATCGTTGTCAAAGAAGAAAAAACATCAAAATTAATTTCATTTTTTATATGATTTCCTGAATACTTGTTGTTATTATATATCGAACTGAATGACCTGCATCTGTTATCCGTTTGATTATTTTACATTGTTTTAGTTTTGTTGTAATTGACGGACGTTCTTCCTGTCAGTGTCGCTGCGACCCGGAGTCCCATCATCTTCATCGGGACCGGAGAACACATCGATGACTTCGAGCCCTTCAAGACTCAGCCGTTCATCAGCAAGCTGCTGGGTGAGAGACACACACTCACTCACTCACTCACTCACTCACTCACTCACTCACTCACACTCACTCACTCACTCACTCACTCACAAACTCACTCACTCACTCACTCACACACACACACAGGCCCAATCCCAAACCACTCCCTCGACCCTACCCCTCCGTGACGGAGTGAACTCCGTCTGTAGCCACACTCGCAGCTGAACGAGGCTCCTCCTGTCAGATGGAGGGAGTAAATACAGCGGCAAGCTTTGGGACAAACTCCCCTCTCTCTGGCAGAAACAGGAAATGCTGTAACTGTATGTAACAACGGTTTCAAATCAGCATCTCTTTGACAAAAAATGTAAATTAATAACTCAAATAAAACTCCAAACATCTTTCATTGTGTTACTTTTTCTGTAAAGCTCTTTTAGTTTTAAACCTGATGTTTATAAGCTTCTTAGTTTTTGCAACAGTCTGTAAATATACACAACTTTATAATAAAATGCACACATTTACCTTTTTCTAGACTAAACACAGGTATGATCCTAAGTTAAAAAAATACGAGGTTATCATGAGGTTGTTAACATCGCAGTTTATCAGTGGATGTTTGCTGGAACTACTTGTAAACAGCGTGTTTCCTGACGGACACACACAGCGTGACTCCGGTCAGGTAGAGACCGGTCTCAAGTCAGCACCGCTGCAGACTCGCTGTTTGAGGGCTTTATAGCCCACTCCCCCTCCACACCGCTCCACACTCGTTGGTTTGGAACAGCACTCAATGTGGCGGACCCTCCGCGCGAACGCGCAAACGGAGGGGGAGGGGGAGGGGGAGGGGGAGGGGTTAGGGGTAGTGTGTAGGGGTAGGGTGTAGGGGGCGGTTTGGGATTGGGCCACACACACACACTCACTCACTCACTCACTCACTCTCACACACACACAGCATTATACTAACACAGCGGCTCCTCTCTCTTCCTCCTCCTCTTCCTCCCCTCTCCTCCTCCTCCTCTTCCTCAGGTATGGGTGATATTGAGGGTTTGATTGACAGAGTGAATGAACTGAAGCTGGACGACAACGAGGAGCTGATCGACAAACTGAAGCACGGTGAGAATCTGAGACTCTCCACACGCCGATATATTAATTATAGTTGTTGTTGTTGTTATTATAACATGTGTTTGTGCTGCAGGTCAGTTCACCCTCAGAGACATGTACGAGCAGTTCCAGAACATCATGAAGATGGGCCCCTTCGGACAGATCATGGTAAACTCTGCAGACATTTAGACCAACGTTTCTCTATACTTTAGTTTAATGACATGTTTCTGATCATTTTTAGATGTTATTCACATGTTCTTATATTCCTTTTCACATGTTTCTGATCATTTCATACACGGTTTCCAGGTTTTTTTTTCCACTACTTTTTTCCGGTATTTTTCACATTTTCTTTAACTTTCCGGACATTTTTCAGATTGTTCCGTCTGAGTTTGACCCCTTTGAGTCACATGTTTAAGCTGTAGGAAGATGTCTGCTGGGTATTGAGAGAACGCAGTGCTCTAACGGTCTCTGTGGTGCGTTCAGGGGATGATCCCGGGCTTCGGGACAGACTTCATGAGCAAAGGGAACGAGCAGGAGTCCATGTCCCGGCTGAAGAAGCTGATGACCATCATGGACAGCATGAACGACCAGGGTAACACCACTCATACACTCATACAGTCATACAGTGCCTAACCCATCATGGACAGCATGAACGACCAGGGTAACACCACTCATACACTCATACAGTGCCTAACCCATCATGGACAGCATGAACGACCAGGGTAACACCACTCATACACACATACAGTGCCTAACCCATCATGGACAGCATGAACGACCAGGGTAACACCACTCATACACTCATACACACATACAGTGCCTAACTCATCATGGACAGCATGAACGACCAGGGTAACACCACTCATACACTCATACAGTGCCTAACCCATCATGGACAGCATGAACGACCAGGGTAACACCACTCATACTCTCATACACACATACAGTGCCTAACTCATCATGGACAGCATGAACGACCAGGGTAACACCACTCATACAGTGCCTAACCCATCATGGACAGCATGAACGACCAGGGTAACACCACTCATACTCTCATACACACATACAGTGCCTAACTCATCATGGACAGCATGAACGACCAGGGTAACACCACTCATACAGTGCCTAACCCATCATGGACAGCATGAACGACCAGGGTAACACCACTCATACAGTGCCTAACCCATCATGGACAGCATGAACGACCAGGGTAACACCACTCATACACTCATACAGTGCCTAACTCATCATGGACAGCATGAACGACCAGGGTAACACCACTCATACAGTGCCTAACCCATCATGGACAGCATGAACGACCAGGGTAACACCACTCATACTCTCATACAGTGCCTAACTCATCATGCCCCTTTGAAACACCTGTGTGCCGTACAGCCTGAAATCAAAACCCATAAAAGAGACTTTTCCATCTTTAGTTACACCTTAAAACATCAAACTAATGAAACAATAAGGTCACGGTTCTGAAAATTAATAAAATGTTAATACTAATGCTGATTCTCATCACCTGCCGTCAGACTGAGCTGCGTGAGAATGGATCATTATATATATATATATACACATATATATACACACTCTTGAATCCTTCATAAAATCTCTCAAAACTCACTTGTTCACTGTAGCTTTCAAACTCTGAGCAACAACACACACACACACACACACACACACACACACACACACACACACACACACACACACACACACACTCTTGGATTAGGAATACTGTATATGTTTGTTTTCTTTGTACTGTTTCTGATTGTATTTATAGCGCCTTTGAGCACTAGGAAAAACGCTATAAATATATATTTATATCCTGTGTGTCTTCAGAGCTGGACAGTAAGGACGGGGCGAAGCTCTTCAGTAAGACCCCCAACAGGATCCAGAGGGTGGCTCGGGGCTCTGGGGTTTCCATGCGAGACGTGCAGGAGCTCCTCACGCAGTACACCAAGTTCGCCCAGATGGTGAAGAAGATGGGGGGCATCAAGGGGCTCTTCAAAGGTAGGGGGAGGGGCATCAAGGGGCTCTTCAAAGGTAGGGGGAGGGGCATCAAGGGGCTCTTCAAAGGTAGGGGGGGGGCAGTGGGGGGGGCAAGAGTACACACATCCTTTACTCAAGTAGAAGTACAGATACTCATGTTTAAAAATACTGGTAAAAGTAGAAGTACTGACTAAACTTCTTTACTCAAGTAAAAGTAAAGAGGGCTTTGAAATGTACTTCAGTAAAAAGTACCCATAACTAGCAGCTGTTTTAAAGAGTAAGTACAGGTAGAAAGTACAGGTATTTGTGTTCATGTAAGAAGTAGAAAGTACAGGTATTTGTGTTCAACATGTAAGAAGTAGAAAGTACAGGTATTTGTGTTCAACATGTAAGAAGTAGAAAGTACAGGTATTTGGGTTCAACATGTAAGAAGTAGAAAGTACAGGTATTTGTGTTCAACATGTAAGAAGTAGATAGTACAGGTATTTGGGTTCAACATGTAAGAAGTAGAAAGTACAGGTATTTGAGTTCAAAGTGTAAGAAGTCAAAGTAAAATAAGTAGTGGAGTAAAGTACTGATACCAGAACAATGTATTTAAGTACAGTAACAAAGTATTTGTACTCCAATACTTCTAACCTCTGAGTAAAGGCTATAGTAGGAAATATGTGCGTGTGTTCAGGAGGAGATATAAATGTGTGTGTGTGTGTGTGTGTTCAGGAGGAGACATGTCGAAGAACGTGAACCCGTCTCAGATGGCCAAACTGAACCAGCAGATGGCGAAGATGATGGACCCCCGCGTGCTGCATCACATGGGTGAGTCCACGTCCTGCAGGAGGTCACATGACGCATGGGTTGGAGTTAAATAATGTGAAATATCACCACAGCCCGACGGGGAATACAAGAGATTCAAGGTTTATTTTATAGTTTAATATTCCATCCCTCACATACTAATGTATATTTAATAACTTGCTTTATATTTTGTTTTTGTTCATTTGTAAATTCAACATGTATATTTTCTACTTTCTTGTTTATTTCTAGTCTTTTAATTTCCATGTCTTTTTATGCTGCTGCAACTCATTGGGATTGATTGGGATCAATAAAGTACTTCTGATCTTCTCTTAACTCTCATACGTTTGTATTAAGCAGATAGGAAGTCCTCTGAGGTTAAAGTCACACATTTAGTCCAAAATATTATGTTTTTCTCGTTATTTTCCATGTTTTATTCCTTTGTAAACATTTGTTTTATTATTTTTTTTTTAAGAGGTGAGTTTTTAGCAGAGATGAAAAAAGGTCAACAGACTGAGCAGTTGGGATTTAATTGTTTAATTGATGTGTGTTTATATCTCAGGTGGGATGGCAGGGCTTCAGTCCATGATGCGTCAGTTCCAGCAGGGCGCCGCCGGCAACATGAAGGGCATGATGGGGTTCAACAACATGTGACCAACCACCAATCAGATGCCTTTAAACATAACAAGCTCCGCCTCCTGACAGGTACAGGTGGTGGGGGCGGGGCTTAGAGAGAGAGAGAGAGAGAGAGAGAGAGATGAAGCAGGAAGTCCAAAGAGACTAAAATAACAGCAGGTTTTGAGTTTGTCGTCTTTATTAAAAATAGCAGAAAATCAGACTTAAAGGAGCAGTGTGTCGCTTATATGATGATAACATGTTATACTGCTTCTTTAAGTCTGTCACTTATATGATGATAACATGTTGTACTGCTCCTTTAAGTCTGTCACTTATATGATGATAACATGTTGTACTGCTTCTTTAAGTCTGTCACTTATATGATGATAACATGTTGTACTGCTCCTTTGAATGAGGAAGAGGAGAGTTTTCTGGGCCTCATTAATTTAATTCTATATAAGATGTTTGTGTATAAGATTTAAACGGAGAGTCTGTCCCGATTGGACGAGGAGACGTCACATGATGGTCAGGATGATGGTGATGAAGAGGATATTAGTTAGTGACAGTATTTTTGTCATATAATAAACATTTGTATTGCACCATTTTAAACCTGCTGAGTTTTTATTTCATTGTCGTGTTTGTGTGTGTGAGCGACCTCCTGATGAATGTAGTTCTTAAATATATCTGAGTGAGACCTCCTGATGAATGTAGTTCTTAAATATCTCTGAGTGACACCTCCTGATGAATGTAGTTTTTAAATATCTCTGAGTGAGACCTCCTGATGAATGTAGTTCTTAAATATCTGAGTGAGACTTCCTGATGAATGTAGTTCTTAAATATCTGAGTGAGACCTCCTGATGAATGTAGTTCTCGGAGTGAGACCTCCTGATGAATGTAGTTCTCGGAGTGAGACCTCCTGATGAATGTAGTTCTCGGAGTGAGACCTCCTGTAGTTTTTAAACTTCCCTCAGAGTGAGACCTCCTACAGTAGTTTTTAGATTTCCCTCTGAGTGAAACCTCCTGATGAATGTAGTTCTTAAATATCTGAGTGAGACCTCCTGATGAATGTAGTTCTTAAATATCTCTGAGTGAGACCTGATGAATGTAGTTCTTAAATATCTCTGAGTGAGACCTGATGAATGTAGTTCTTAAATATCTCTGAGTGAGACCTGATGAATGTAGTTCTTAAATATCTCTGAGTGAGACCTGATGAATGTAGTTCTTAAATATCTCTGAGTGAAACCTGATGAATGTAGTTCTTAAATATCTCTGAGTGAGACCTCCTGATGAATGTAGTTCTTAAATATCTGAGTGAGACTTCCTGATGAATGTAGTTCTTAAATATCTGAGTGAGACCTCCTGATGAATGTAGTTCTTAAATATCTGAGTGAGACCTCCTGATGAATGTAGTTCTTAAATATCTGAGTGAGACCTCCTGATGAATGTAGTTCTTAAATATCTGAGTGAGACCTCCTGATGAATGTAGTTCTTAAATATCTGAGTGAGACCTGATGAATGTAGTTCTTAAATATCTGAGTGAGACCTCCTGATGAATGTAGTTCTTAAATATCTGAGTGAGACCTCCTAATGAATGTAGTTCTTAAATATCTGAGTGAGACCTCCTAATGAATGTAGTTCTTAAATAGTGGGGATAGTGGTGGTCTAATGGATAGTGAGGTGGGCTGAAGATTGTGAGTTCAAATCCCGCCAGGAACACCACCACTAGTGTTCTCAGATTTCCCTCAGAGTGAGACCTCCTCCTGTAGTTCTCAGATTTCCCTCAGAGTGAGACCTCCTCTGGTTTCTCGCTCTGTGTCTTGACGTGGCGCCGGCGGCCGCCATGTTGTTTGTGCCGTGTTGTCAGTAGCAGCTTCAGAGGATCGTTACTGATTCACAGCTGATTTACCTGCAGAGACACAGCCTCACCTGGACCTGAGGACACCTGAGGACTCTCACCTGGACGGTCCTCAGCTCACCTGAGACTCTGCTACCTGTCAGTGACGCTGCGGTTTATCAGCTGTTAGTGGTTAGCTCCCAAGCTAACTGAGGAACTGTGAGCAGCTTCAGGGGAAACAGGTAAGAAACTCACCTGTCAGAGAGCATGGTCATCTTCTCTCACATGTTACACTGTGAGACCTTTACCTGGCAGTTGAATGAAAGAGCTGTCATTCACCGGAAAGTTGGTCAGAGTTTTCTTGCTGTCTTTTTATAGAATATATAATATCTTTATTGTCATCATACAAAGTACAGCTCTCCCTCACTCCCTTCTGGTCTGAAACAGACAGAAAGAAACTCACCTGTGAGACAGAAGCACCTCGAAGGTCCTGATTTAAACTTTAACTGTAAAACATTTACCTGACAAGTCAATTAAAGAGCTGAGATGTATTTAATCCTCAGGTGATGAAACTGACTGAAGGGAAACATCCCAGATCAATACATCTGATCAGAAACACATCTCTTTAAAAGCAGACAAAATAATATGTTCTTTTAAATGTTTGGTCGGTGGTTTTTCTTTAAATATTTTAATTAAACTGAATTGTTTCTGACTTGTTTTTAAAGAGTAAGAAAGTGACTCTTTCGGTGGTTTTCTGTAAAACATTTGAAACTTTGAATCTTTACAGGATCTGAGTTGTAATGTGAATATAATGTGTTTCCTGCAGGGGTTAGGAGGACATAGTATCTGCACTGAGTTGTAATATGAATATATATGTATGTAAAGTGTTAGACCACGCTAACATGATATCTGTGTTTTAATCGAAAGGTTAGGAAAGGGTCAAAGGAGCTATAACTCCACAGGAAGATGAGAGGGTCTGGAGAGGGGTTTCTAAACATCTGGAACTAACTCCCAGAAACCTGCAGCTCCTTAGAGACTCTCTCTTCACACAGAGGGGACACGTGTCTCTTCTACATCAACATGTGTCCCCTCTTCTTCATGTCTCTTCTACATCAACATGTGTCCCCTCTTCTTCATGTCTCTTCTACATCAACATGTGTCCCCTCTTCTTCATGTCTCTTCTTCATCAACATGTGTCCCCTCTTCTTCATGTCTCTTCTTCATCAACATGTGTCCCCTCTTCTTCATGTCTCTTCTACATCAACATGTGTCCCCTCTTCTTCATGTCTCTTCTACATCAACATGTGTCCCCTCTTCTTCATGTCTCTTCTTCATCAACATGTGTCCCCTCTTCTTCATCTCTCTTCTACATCAACATGTGTCCCCTCTTCTTCATGTCTCTTCTACATCAACATGTGTCCTCTCTTCTTCATGTCTCTTCTTCATCAACATGTGTCCCCTCTTCTTCATCTCTCTTCTTCATCAACATGTGTCCCCTCTGTGGAAAGAGACTCTGAAAGTTTCAGGACCAAAGATTCTCTCTCTTTTTGATCCATTTCTATAAAAACCTGTCTGAAAATGAGCTGATCAGATTTTGGCCACTTGATGATGTCATAACGATGTGTTGTCTTGTGTAACTCCTTATTTTCATCTAAAGTAACAGACAGAGAATCAGCACTTTGGAAACAGGGCTGAAACAGAGGGGATTATGGGTAATGCTGCAATGATCTGTTTGGTGTTTCAGCCAATCAGAGACAGGTTAATAACACCACATCTCTCTCTGTAGATCAGCCCTCGATGGCGACCTTCCCAGAGTTCATCTCTCAGAACGAGGACCGGGACGGGGTCCGGCTCAGCTGGAACGTCTGGCCCTCGTCCCGTCTGGAGGCGACCCGGCTGGTGGTCCCTCTGGCGGCGCTGCTGTCCCCCCTGAGAGAGAGAGAGGACCTGCCCCCCATCCAGTATGAACCTGTGCTCTGCAGCAGGGCCACATGCAGAGCAGTGCTGAACCCCCTGTGGTGAGAGAGTGTGAGAGTGAGAGAGTGAGAGTGAGAGAGAGAAAGAGAGAAAGAGAGAAAATATTAAAATGTGTAATTGTGTTTCAGTCAGGTGGACTACAGAGCCAAGCTGTGGGCCTGTAACTTCTGCTACCAGAGGAACCAGGTGCTGCACACACACATTGCTACAGATGATCACACACACACATTGCTACAGATGATCACACACACACTGCTACAGATGAACACACACACACATTGCTACAGATGATCACACACACACATTGCTACAGATGAACACACACACACACACACTCTCTGAGATATTAACGATGGTCTGTTTCAGTTCCCTCCATCCTACGCGGGGATCTCGGAGGTGAACCAGCCGGCCGAGCTGCTGCCTCAGTTCTCCACCATCGAGTACGTGGTGCAGGTGAGACCCGACGTACAGAGAGACATTACAAGACTAGAAATAAACAATCCAAAATGTAAACTTCTCAAATAGAAAAAAAATAGCATTAAAGAAGTAAAAAGTGTGTGTCTGTTACTGTGTGTGTGTGTGTCTGTGTGTGTGTGTCTGTTAATGTGAGTGTCTGTTACTGTTACTGTGTGTGTCTGTGAGTGTGTGTTACTGTGTGTGTGTTACTGTGTGTGTCTGTTACTGTGTGTGTGTGTGTCTGTTAATGTGAGTGTCTGTTACTGTTACTGTGTGTGTGTGTGTGTTACTGTGTGTGTCTGTTACTGTGTCTGTGTGTGTCTGTTAATGTGAGTGTCTGTGTGTGTGTGTGTCTGTTACTGTGAGTGTGTGTTACTGTGTGTGTGTGTGTCTGTTACTGTGTGTGTGTGTTACCTGTGGCTCTTTGAGCACTAGGAAAAGCGCTATAAAAATGTACTATTATTGTGCTCTGATATGAACTTGGCGTCCTCAGCGCGGGCCCCAGATGCCCCTGGTGTTCCTCTACGTGGTGGACACCTGTCTGGAGGAGGAGGACCTGCAGGCTCTGAAGGAGAGCCTCCAGATGTCTCTCTCTCTGCTGCCCCCCGCCTCTCTGGTGGGCCTCATCACCTTCGGACGCATGGTGCAGGTCCACGAGCTGCAGGGCCCTGAAGGCATCGCCAAGAGCTACGTGTTCCGGGGGGCCAAGGACCTGAGCGCCAAGCAGCTGCAGGTGAGGGCCCCTGAACGCACCACTGACACTGCTGACTGTCCCTGAATGCACCACAGACACTATAAGTTAACCAAGGCCCTGAATGCACCCCAGCAGTGACTTATTGTCCCTGAATGCATCACAGCTGCAGTAAGTATCATACTGTTAGTCCTGCAGCACCTGAACGCATCACATCTGCATTTGTATGTCCCTGAACATCTCACCGCTGCAGGTATATCCCTAAAGCTGTAAATGACAGCAGCACCTGAACGCCTCGCAGCTCATTGTGAAGTATCTGTACTACCTGAGCCGCCGAGGCTTCTGGGAGTTTCCTCTAACAGAGTGTTGTGTTCCTGCAGGAGATGCTCGGTCTGACCAAACC